AGATAGATAGATAGATAGATAGATAGATAGATAGATAGATATAGATATAGATATAGATATAGATATAGATATAGATATAGATATAGATATAGTATGGATATAGATGTAGATTCACTGTTTTGAAATCGTATGGAAAATGGTGCTGTCACTTTTTTCAGTGCTGATGTCATTTCGGTCATTAAACGGAACCGTTGTAAGTCGAGGACTCTATGTACCTGGCCTGGAGCAATGCATCCTGGGAGAATCCCAATCGCTGGACAAGGGGCAAATCGTGCATTCTGAGAAATCTCCCTGGGTGTTTTTCGAATAGGGAGCCTTCATTCCCATCTCATTTCTCTCCTCCGTGACAGGCAATGCCCAGAACACGCTGGCCCAGCCTGCAGTGTGGCTCACCATCGCCCTGACCACCGTGGTCTGCATCATTCCAGTCGTTGCCTTCCGCTTCCTCAAGCTGGACCTCCGGCCAGAACTGTCCGACACGGTGAGCGAAGGGTGGCACGCGGGCTCTCTCTCCTTCCTGGCAAGAAAATTTCCCCCATGTGGACAGGTGGGGCTGTCTCTTTCTTTAGTTGTAACCTCCCAACGGTCGCTGAATATGTCATCGCAAATCGAGGACTACCCGCATTTTAAAAAGGGATTGGGGTTAGGATGACGGACAGTTAGGGATGCTGGCGTGATCCGGAAAGATCAGAGGTGGGAAGATTCTCGCGAGGAGTTGATTAGCCGCCTCGCTTTGACGCCCCTTCGCTCTGCTTCCTTCCCCAGGTGCGTTACACTCAGTTGGTTCGCAAGAAGCAAAAAACCCAGCACCGTTGCATGGGCCGCGTGGGGCGCACGGGTTCCCGACGCTCGGGCTATGCCTTCTCCCACCAAGAAGGTTTCGGGGAGCTCATCACTTCCGGCAAGAACATGCGGCTCAGCTCACTGGCCCTTTCCAGTTTCAGCGGCCGCCCCAGCACCAGTTGGATGGAGACGTTGCGGAAGAAGAAAAACAGTGGCGGTGGCGAGCCCAACGTGCCCGACAGGGCGCTGAAAGTGTGACACAACCTCAGGGTCGACGATGGATGGACTCGCGTGCTAAAGGTCTCGTTCCTCCGTGAGGATGTGAGACGAGGAGCTCGCCAAACGGGAGCAAATCGGTTTTGGAGCCGAGAACTCAGAACCGTGGCTTGAAGTCTAAAGCTATCGCCGTATAACCAAACCACGTAGCCAAACCCCCCCCTCTGCTCCCCACAATTCAAGCTGCCGGTGTATTTGAGGTAGCTCACTCTAGCTGGTCAGCCAATGTGGGATATTTAAGTGTTCCCCTCCTCGGACAGGAAACCGTAAGAGCGTTTGTGCTCTGTTTTTTTTAATCCAGGGACATCTCCCCGTTCGAGTAACAAGGCATCTTTTCTCCAAAGTATGTACGAATCGAGAAAATTGGGGGTGAAAGACGGGGGCTAGGACTGGGGGAGATGTAGACCCCTCCCACTACAACCCTGTAGCCTTGTGCTTTGGGTTTGCCGTTTTGGGAAAAAAAGCAATCTCGCCAACGAATCTCGTTTACAAAAGATCGAGGATTTTCCTACTCCTCGTTGGACCTCCAGCTGGCATTTAAAAGGCACTGGGTCAAACGTTGAGGGTGGCCAACTCCCCGAAGCCTCCACGAGGCCCACCTTACTACCATGAAAGCATTTGGCGTCTGATACTCAGGTTGAAGAAAAGACTCGTCCCGCGGCAATGTCCAAATCTCAGCACGTGGAAATGCAGCTCTTTTCAGTTTAAAGACAAGAGGACTGAGTGCTTTCAGACTTATAGGAGGGGCGACCCACCTCAGATCTTCCAAGAAGAGTTCAGGATTTGCACCATGTCCTTCCGGGCGTGCCTCGGAGGCTTTGGATCTCCCGTACGAGGGAGAAAGTAAAGAGATTTTATTTTTTTATTGTGTCGGACTTTTCAATTGCAAAGAGTTCCTTGCTCGTCCTTCTCGGCCCCTTTCCCTGGGGGTCCCTCAACTTGTTTCCCGTATCCCAAGTGGTCGTGGAAAACAGGGACCACCAAGCCGGGTCAGAGTAAACGAAGAGTAACATTGTGAAGAGAACCGGTTGCAAAAAATGCCTCATTTCTTCCTGTGGCCAAACTCGCCGAGATCCGTACAGCTTCCACTTCCTTTCAAAGACACACAATTCACCTTCTTGGCATCCGTCATGGTCAGCAGAGACCCGTAAAGATGTCCTGCTAGATCAGCTGCAGATTGAGGGAGCAGATTCCCGCTAGATCCCTTAAGCCATGCTATCCTGCCAGGGTAGACAATTCATCCAGAAACGGGCACGGCCATTAGAGACACAAGATAACCGATTCTGTGGAACCAACACAATGATTTTCTTCGTCCAAACGCAGAATAGGGAGGGGGGCACTGACATCTATTTTTGGGGGGTGGGTGGGAACCCTTTTGCAAATCTACCCTGTTGCCTTGAAGTAAAACATCTTTTCTGTAGCCAGATATCGTGGGACAAGTTTCTGGGATCCCCCAAAAACAGATGGGTAAATGGAGCGTGTCAACCAACTGGTACCGACATAGATTTCCTGGCGTATCAATGTTTTAACCAGTATGCCTTGAACAATGGCTAACCTGGTTAAAAAGAGATTGTCCCAAGAGATCATCAGAAGTCGGAGGAAGCTGGCAAATTTGGGATTGTCTGGCAGTTCCGTTACTCCGCTCGCAAATTTACACTTACCGACGAGATTGAACCAATCTGGGATGGGCAACGCCACAGGCAACGGGGGGACGGTGCCTGGTTCTCTCGACTTTGATACCAAAGAGACATATTTTGTCCGCGAGGGAGAGGCGCGGGAGAAATCCAGTTTGGGCACAGCCTCTCCGTTGACGGGCAGAAGAAGGGGGGGAAGAGAAACCGCAACTGTGCCACGCAGGGATTAAGGAACATTCAGTATAATTTATTTTACATTTCTATACTGGGCAAAATTGTTTTATGACTATAAAGAGAAATTGCCTTTTCTTTAAAAAGAAAACAATGTGGTTTTTTTCCCCCTCTCTAGCGTCGTGCCTTTATTGGTTAGCCATCCCTGTCCTAAGGGATCTTGTTGGATGGTCTGTGGTGTACAGGTCGTCCTCGATTTACAGCCGTCTGTTTAACGACGGTTCAAAGGGATGGAAAAAGGGATTTGTGATGTTGTTGTTGCAGTTGTGACTGTCACACACACTGCAGTCCCACCGACTTTCCTACCTGGCTTCTGACAAGGGGAATCAATAAAGGAAACCGGATTTTGCTTTCATTAGCATGTGATTTGCTTAATGGCCGTGTGACTCGCTTAACGACCGTGGTAAAAATGGTCATTAAAAAAATCACATCCGGGCACACGATGTCTCAACGTCCAAGCATGCCAACTTAGCGAGAGAAAATCCAATCCCAGTTGTGGTCATAAATCGAGGACTATCTAACCAGTATGTTCTCCCGTGTGTGTGGGCCTGTTTTCCCTTCAATTCCTACTGCCCTTCTTAATTTTTAAAGAAGGAATTTGCAGAACGGCGAGTAAGGAGCTTCTAATCCTTTTTTGTTTTTTTTTGTTTTCACATTATCCCCATGAGGTCTAGAAACTTGAGTTTCTCTTTATAAGATGCCACCAGAGTAGAAATGAGAGGGGATAACCTCAGATATTTGTCGAAAGTCAGATTGTGGGGAGAACCCACAACGCATCGCATCGCTTTTACTCGAGCGACCCAAAACGCTTGACTCCCCCAAAACGCACCTCCAACCTCTTCCTTGGTGGTGTGAGGCTATTTGTCGATATCGGCTCAGCTCCCCTTTCTGAGCCGGCATCCCCCAGCAGTCCTCGACTTAACAACGTTTGTCCATTTAGTGACCGTCGAAAGTTACAACCGGCCTGAAAAAAAAAGGGCCGTTTTCCCCCCCACCCCGCGGCCTTTGCAGCGTCCACGTTGGTCCCATGCTCAAAATTCAGACCCCGGGCAACCGACTCGTATTTATGACGGTCGCCGTCTGACAACGATCTCTTTTGCGTCCTTCGAACAAGCCTGTGAACAACGGGGAATCACGTCTCCTAAATTAACGGCAGTGATTCCCTTAACGGTGGCAAGGAAGGTCTTTTAAAAAAAATGGGGGAATAACTCCACAAGCACCCCGCTTAGTGACGAGGCTCGGCCGTGGTCATAAGTCGAGGACCTCACAAGACCCTTTTTTTTTTTTTTGGCAAATTCTCAGTTGAAAACAACTTATTTTGGAAAGGAAAGAGCCGGGACATAGGGGAGGAAAAAACCCACGGGTGCCTCATATTTTCTCTCTGCAGAATGCTGGCGTGTGTTCCCCCACCCACGCCACCCACCCCTTTCTGCCCCATGTGTCCCTTTTCCAGCTCCACCCCATTGCTCAACCTGCTTTCACAACCCGAGAGAGAGAGAGGGACATTCGCTCCCTTCAACAGCCGCGGCTTAAGTTCCTCAAATGTTTCTCCTGCGAGCAGCAGCGAGGCAGCTGGCAGGAGTCCTGGGGCCTCCGGGGGGCATCGCCTTGGCATCATGTGGCTGGCTCGTGCCACCCTGATCGCCCACATCCTGGCGGCCGCAGCTGGCTTCACGGCCTCCACGCTGCCCTGCGAGCGGCCAGGTGAGACCATTCGAAGTGCCCCTCTCGCTGGCGGCCTGCGGAGTGCGGACGAGTGGTAGGGGGGGATGCCAACGCTTCCAAAACAAAGGCTGTTTTGTTTGGTGTGTTTTGTGCGTGCACACCTGGGGTGTGAGTTTACGGATGTGTCGTTAAGGTGAGGGGTGGAGGTGCAATTTTTTGCGTCCTCAGCTACCCGCCTGGCACAATTTTGCTAGGTTTTTGAAGTTTCTGCTGCATTTTTAAAAGAGGGGAATTGGTTTCAGTATCTGTCTGAGTGTGTGTCTTTTGAGAAAGGTGGGAGGGGGGGCCTTACAAGAGAAAGGAAGGAAGGAGAGAAGAAAGGAAAGAGAGACACGAAGGAGGGAGTGGGAGAGGAGGGAAAGAATATCGAAGGAGGGAGTGGGAGAGGAGGGAAGGAGGGGAAGAATATCGGGAGGGGAGGAAGGAAGGAGCAAAATGGTGGGGAAGGAAGGAGAGAAGGGAAAATGAGAAAGGAAAAGAAAGAATGGAGAGAGGGGGGAAAGGGGAAAGGAAGGGAAGAGAGGAAAGGAAGTAGAGGAGAAGGAAAGAAACAAAAGAAAAAGGAAGGAAAGAAAGAAAAGAGAAAAGAAGGAGAAAGGAAAAGAAAGAATGGAGAGAGGGGCGGAAAGGAAGGGAAGAGAGGAAAGGAAGTAGAGGAGAAGGAAAGAAACGAAAGAAAAAGGAAGGAAAGAAAGAAAAGAGAAAAGAAGGAGAAAGGAAAAGAAAGAATGGAGGGGAAAGAAAGGAAAGGAAATGAAGGGAAGGAGGTACATAGAGGAGAAGGAAAGGAAAGAAATGAAAGAAAAAATGAAAAGAAGGAGGAAGGAAAAGAAAGTATGGAAAGAGGACGGGAGGGGGATAAAGGAGAGGAGGAAGGGAAAGGAAGTGAATGGAGGAAAAGAAGGGAGAAAAAGGAAAGGAAGTAAATAGGGGGGAAGGGAAGAAACAAGAAAAGAAAGAAGGAAAGAAAAGGGAAAAGAAGGAGAAAGGAAAAGAAAGAATGGAACGGGAGGGAAGAGGGAGAAAAGAAAGGAAGGGAAGGGAGCTAAACGAAGAAGCAAAGGATGTAAAGAGAGAAAAAGGAAGGAAAGAAAGGAAAGGAAAGACAGCATTCGCAAACGGGTCATCTCTGCCCTGTCCCACACCGCAGGGCCGTTGTGAACCATCAAAACAAGCCCCTTCTACCAGCCGAAGCTTTGTCGCAAAGACTCGCCTTCAGGCTGCCAGAAAGTTTAGAAAAGAAAAAAGAAATCCAGACACGAAAAGTGTAGGGAGGGGGGAAGGGGGGGACCCCCCCCCTCTCCCCCCACTTCCTTTCTCTAGAACAAAACCGGCCTATTTTTGTGCAGGTAGAAACGAAGAAATCTGAACCGAGAGGCAGGAAGAGTTTTCAGCACAAAAACTGTTGAAGCAGAGAGAAAAAAAATGGATGATTCAGAAGTTCTGTTTTCTTTTTCTCTATTTTGTCTACTGTCGACGGCAGCAAAATTCCACCACGGTGGGCCCTTTTTTCCTCCCCCCCCCCACAATCTCCTAAGGATCCCATTTGGGGTGCCAAAGGGGTCCCAGCTGAGCCCCTTCCTCCCAGGCCAGAAAATATTTCGTGGCACACAGAGGGAAAAATAATCTCAACCTTTCCCCCCCCTCCCCGATACATTTCCCTTTTTAATTTGTTGAGCCTATAAAACACCCAAATGCAAAAGGAAATCACGGGAAAGGAAAGAGGAAAGAAAGAAAGAAGGAAGGAATGGAAAGGAAAGGAAAGAGGAAGAAAAGGAAGATAGGAAAGGAAAGAGGAAAGAAAGAAAGAAGGAATGGAAAGGAAAGGAAAGGAAAGAGGAAGAAAAGGAAGATAGGAAAGGAAAGAGGAAAGAAAGAAAGAAAAGGAAGGAATGGAAAGGAAAGGAAAGAGGAAGAAAAGGAAGATAGGAAAGGAAAGGAAAGGAGGAAGGAATGGAAAGAAAAGGAAAGGAAAGGAAGGAAAAGAAGATAGGAAAGGAAAGAGGAAAGAAGGAAGGAAAGGAAAGAAGGAAAGGGAGGAGAAAGAAAAGAAAGGATAGGAAAGAAGGAAAGGAAAGAAGAAAGGAAGAGAAAGAAAAGAGGAAAGAAGAAAGGAAAAAGAAAGGAAAGAGAAGGAAGGAAAGGAAGATAGGAAAGGAAAGAGGAAAGAAAGAAGGAAGGAAAAGGAAAGAGAAAGGAAGGAAAAGAGGATAGAAAAGGAGAAGAAGGAAGGAAAAGGAAAGGAAAGAGGAAAGAAAGAAAGAAAAGGAAGG